AATCATCACACAATTTATTTTCCTTTTGCTTACCCTGCATGTAGAACAAATTACAGTAGTAGGTTAGAGGAAATAAAAGCAATGTCACAATCAACAAAAGGAGGCTGAAAAATAGTCAGTAGCTGTACCAAAAGCCCAACAATGGAGAAGTATTTTACAAAGCCCTCGTGTAGATGTGTCCTAATTTATTCCTAAACTTTCAAGCCCGTAATGTTGTTCCCTGCAGCATTTCTACTTGGTCCTTGAATGAATCCGGCTGCAGGCACCTTGCAGAATTTCTCAGGAAAAATCATAAACTGAGAGAGTTATGTCTGCCTTGGTGTAACATCAGTGACAACGGATTGAAGTTACTGTGTGAAGAGCTAAAACATCCAGACTGTGAACTAGAAGTGCTACAGTAGGTCACTTATGTTTTCTTTTCACTCTTATATCTGTAGCTCTCTCTTAAAAGTTCAAATTCAGGAAATGTCTCCAAGAAGAGGCAGTTTTAATTGAATCAAGTAATTGCATTCAGTCTTGTTCTTTGAAGACTATAATTCATATTTATCCTAAAAAATAATTCCACTTTAACCTTCAAATAATTTAATTTGCTTGGATTGTAACTAAGAAAAGGCGCCTGAACTAGTTTTTCTCTTCCCTCCCCACATCCTTTTCCTCATGTCTTGTGTCTCTTAGACACACAATATCTATATCGCTTACTAAGTATTACAGTAATATTTAGCCCAGCAAACTGAAGACATTTTGTTGCAGTAAATACTCCATCACCCCTGCCACTTCAACTCATTTCTGGAAGGTCTGGCAGGAAGGGATAAGAAGGCAATCAGTGATATCTCAATTGGCTTGTGAAAGCGAACGGAGAGAAAAATGGCTGATGTGGGTCTTCCGGGCTGTGTGGTCGTGTTCTGGAAATTTTGGTTCCTAACGTTTCACCAGCATCTGTGACCGGCATCTTCAGAGGACAGGAGCTCCCTTTTCTCACATCTTAGAATGTGGAATCACCCAATGCAGCTGAAAGAGGAGACTTGGGACAGACTTCATTCATGTAACCAGGGGTTATGCTTCGGAGTCTGCTTCCCTTTGATGTGTAAATGGCTACCAATCCAGATAGCTTTAAAAGAAAATTGACAAATATATTGAGGATAAAATAGGGAATGGCCATTATGGCTAAAAACTCCCATCTGTGATGAGAAAGTACAGAGCGAATGGAGGATGTATAGATATTTTTCCTTCAACTCCAGAAGGAACAGGCTACTTGTAAATCATAATTATTGTTGCAATTGTGATTTATTTATTCTACTGTTGTAATTAAAAATTGTATCTCATCTGACGATTCTCTGCAGGCTTTCTTGGGAGACCTTGACAGTATCCTCCAGCAGGCATCTCGCTGATGTTCTCAGGAAAAAACAGAGGCTGGTGGAGTTACACCTGTCTTTCCACAATTGTGTTACGCATGAAAGAAGGGAAGAAGCATTCCAATTATTATGTGAGGGGCTAAAAGATCCAGACTGTAAATTAGACACACTCAGGTAAGTTATCACTCTTTTCTTTTCCATTTGATTTGCACATCCCTCTCTTGACAGCTTAACTTCTGCAAATTTATCCAAGGAGCAGCAGTTTTAGTTTGATCAAGTAATTACATTCACTCCGGTTCATTCAGGAATTTAGTTTTGGCTGCTATAAAATATATCATTGTAAATCATTTTTTGCTTTCTCCTCCAGGATTCCTGAGCTAATGTTGACATTATCCTGCTACAGACAGCTTGCTGAAGTTCTTTGGGAAAACCAGAGACTGAGAGAGTTAGATTTGACTCAGTATCACCAAAAAGGTGAAGACATAAAGTTACTGTCTGAGGGACTAAAACATTCAGACTGTAAACTGGAGACACTAACGTGAGTAATCATTATTTCCCTTTCAGTTTGTTTTGTGTAACTCTCTTGATTGTTGAATTTCTGACAGTGTATCCAGGGAAAGACAGTTTTAGTTTAATGAAATAATCACATTCCTCCATCTCTTTCAAGACTATGATTCGTGGTTGTTTTCAGAAATATAATTCCTACTTTTCCCTCCAGGCTTTCTGCAGACCACTTGAGAGAATCCCCCTGCAAATACCTTGCTGAAGTTCTCAAGGAAAACCAGAGTCTGAAAAAGTTATATCTGAAGGCCACTGTTGTACATGACAAAGGAATGGAACTGCTGTTTGAGGCACTTAAAGGCCCTTGTTGTAAACTAGAGAAACTATGGTCAGTCATCAATATTTTCTTTTCCATTTGATGCATATAGCTGTCTCTTAACCATTTAACTTCTGGAAATTTAACCAGGCACAGGCAGATTTAATTTAACCATATCATCACATTTTTCCCATTCTTTCAAGGCAATAATTCACAGGCGTTTTCAGAAATATAATCCTGACTCTCCTTTGCAGGCTGTCTAAAGCGTTCTTCAGCACATCCTTCTGCCAGTGTCTTGCTGATATTCTCAGGGAAAACCAGGTGCTAAAAGAGTTAGCCCTGATAAGCCTACACATAACCGATAAAGAAATGGAAGAACTGTGTGAGGTACTAAAACATCCCAACTGTAAATTAGAGAAATTTGGGTAAGTCGTCATTGTTTTCTTTTATTCAAATAATACTCTCTTGACTGCTTAACTTCTGGAAATTTACCCATAGACAGGTAGCTTTGGTTTAACTAAATAATATTATTCATTCCAGTTTTCTGAAGACTGTAGCTCATAGTTGCTTTCAAAAATATAACTGTAATTCAGCTGACTCCTTCCTACAGGATTTTTAACACACACTTGAGAGAATCTTGGTGCAGGTATCTCGCTGAAGTTCTCAAGGAAAACCAGACACTGAGACAGTTAGCTCTGCATCAATGTCACGGAGGCAGCCAGGAAATGGAACTGCTGTGTGAGGAGCTAAAACATCCTAACTGCAAACTAGAGAAAGTGTGGTAAGTTCTTTGGTGGTAAAAGGTAGCCCCCAACATACACACATGAGTTGCATTCACTGCCCAACCTATGAGATGCCCCCATACACGTGAACAGCTTGAAGCACCCTTCTAATAAAGCCTGGCTCACCTACAGCAACCCTATCACATTGCAGATACAACACAAATTTATCAAGCATGCCAACCATCACAGTGTCTGTAGTGGTTGGCATGCTTAATAAATGTATGGCTATAATTGTTGGTGTGCTTAATAAATTTACGTTGTATCTCCAAAGTGATTTGGTTGCTGTAGGTGTGCCAGCTTTTGGCCACAACAATCAGCGTTTGATGTGTCCAACTCACTCTTGACTGTTTAAATTCTGGGAATATATACAGGGAGAGGAAGGTGGCTGAATCACATAATCACATTCCTCATGTTCTTTTAAGATTTTAGTACATGGCAGTTTAAAAATAAATGTTGAAATTCATCTTACTATTCTCGGCAGGATTCCTGCGGTATCCTTGACAGAATCTTGCTGCAGGCATCTTGCTCAAGTTTTTAAGGAAAACCAGAATCTGAGAGAGTTGGATCTCTTTCACTGTGACATCGGTGACAGAGAAAAAGAGCTGCTGTATGAGGGGCTAAAGCATCCAGCCTGTAAATTAGAGAAACTATTGTAAGTCCTCGTGTTTCATTTTCCATCTGCTTTGTATAATCCCTTGCTGACGGTTTAATTTTTATGTTTACTTAGGCAGTTTTAATTTAAACAGAATTCAGAGAAATATTTTGGGATATTGGAGTTCACTGACCTTAGTTTTCTTCTTGCAAATATTTCATGACCAAAATAGATAAAGTACCTTTGCTTTGACATGACAGAGTGGGGTTTGCCGGCTTTTTACACAGTATATGCGTGTCCTACCTGTCTTGATCAAGGATGTTGGATGCCTGTTTCTGATTGACCTGCCTGGCTTGGTTGGCTGTATTGTGTCATTTCTGGTTGTTGCTGTCTTTTGTGTTGGTTGCCTGTGGTTGTCGCTTATCTGAGTGTTGATTGTTGGTGGGTCATAAGGGAAGATGTGCTCTGGGCTGCTGGCTGCTTTCTTGGCCTCCCTTTGCTTTTTTAAAATCGTTTGTAAACCACGTTTATCTCTATGGGTCTATGAATGACTCACCTATCAGAATACCAGGCCTCCAGGAATTCTCTTGCATTTTTGGGTGGCTTGATCAAAAATGGTTAGTTTCCCAGTTGAATTTGCAGTTCAGTTTGTCTGTGGGTTTTGAAATTAAAGATTTTTCATCGTGTCTTCTGACTGCCAATTGATGTTCATGGATCTGTTCTGCTAATCATTTGCCTGTTTGTCTGGCATAGTGGCTTTCACAACCCTTGCGCTATATGTTGTAAGTAGAGGCATCTGCAGGATCCAGTGTTTTCATCAAAATGGTTAAAGCCTCATTGTGATGGCATAAAAGAACCTCTTCCCCTTTCCTCTGTGTGTGTGTAACATCACAATGCAAATACAGAAGGGACAGAGCTTATTTCATAAGAGCATGAAGCTACTTTAATCATTTATCTCCCTTGATCTTTCTGACACCTCTCTTTTAGAAGTATTTCTTTCTTTCTGTATTTCTTTATTATTACACTTACGCTGCCCAACTCTCAGTGACTCTGGGTGGCTCATTCTTGTTTTCAAATATATTTGTAATCACCTGTTCTTTGAAGATTGTGTAACTACTTGTTGGATGGCGGCTTTTTGGGAGCTTTTTCCTAGTTCTTATTGAGAAACTGGCACTGAAATCTTTAAAAATGTCTTAAATATCTTACTTAGGAGTAAATATAGTAATTCTGTTGTGTGAAGAGTTAAAACATCCAAAGGGCACAGGCGGATTGTTATGTTAATGTCCATGCCTTCTGTCCTCCTGTCAGCCAAGAAGTATGCCATGTAATGTAAGATGCCCTCTCAGCCGAGTCTCTTCTGCCTCAGAAATGAGATTAGCAAGTGTGTTATCCTTACAGCTTTAATGTGGAACAATTTAACTGCAAAAATTGGTAGATTCTTCTGGCTTTGTTTTCTTTCCCAACCATCATCACCTGTTGGCAGGAAAATCAACCATTAGATGCTTTCCTTAACAGGTGATGAGCAGTTTTGGCCAAGCGTTGGAGACAGAGGGTCTCACCCCCTATCAAGTTACCCAAGTAACACATCACCAGCATTTTTTCTAAACATGAATCTTGCACTCCTATGGAACGGCAACAAACCTGTGTTCCAAAATAGCCCAGCTGATTAGTTTGTGGGCAGAGAAGGGTACAAGGTGAAGGGAGGGGGCAGTTCTCCAGGGGAAGCTCCCTCCCATTTTATCCTCTATCCCACAATATGGTCACCAGGATTCTTTCTATGCATGCATGCATGCATGCATGCATCTATCTATCTATCTATCTATCTATCTATCTATCTATCTATCTATCTATCTAATCAAATGTGTATGCCACCTGACTCCCAATTACTGTTTTTGAGCACAGGTATAATACTCTTCTAGAAGATTGCTAATCCCATGTTCAAATTTAGTCTGACTGACAGCTCAGAAGCACTGTGGAGGGGTTGCAAGGAACATCTAGGTTTTTTCCATCTACTCACTCCATGTACTGCATCTCTGTCTGGGACCTGTAATGGAGGCTAAAAGGAGAAATAGGCAGGCCTCTGGTTAGCTTTCCTCCAGTTCTTTTTTGGGGGGGGGAGGGGGGTTCCATTCAATTGTGTCCAATTCTTGGAGACTCCCTGGACAAGTCCCTGCAGTTTTCTTGACAAGATTTCAGAAGTGGTTTGCCACTGCCTCCTTCCTAGGGCTGAGGGAAAGTGACTGGCCCAAAGTCACCCAGCTGGTTTTGTGCCTCAGGCAGGACTAGAACTCACAATATCCCGGTTCCTAGTCTGAGGCTGTAACCACTACACCAAACTGGCTCTCCCTCCAGCTGTAATATTTCTCAAATTAGTAAGTGCTGCAAGATTATGGCAATGCTAGCAGCAAGTGGCTACATCGAGCAGCACCTGGAATTATCCCAAGGGATACATAAAATAGGGTTGGAGTAGGCAAAATGGCATCACTCTC